GCAGCACTATAGAGACCTGATGAAATTATATTTCCAATGGGATCTGGTACAAATTGCGAGCTGACCTAAAAAAAAATCACGATAATCTGATCCAAAAATTCTACAAGAAATGCCAATATATACTTACGCGATTTGACTTGACTAAATTCTCTATTTGAGAGATGAGAGCCTTGCTTCGTATTAACGGAGCATCTTTCTGTTTAAAAATGGCGCCCTGATGATCTAAAGACCGAAGGTAATTTCGACTATCTTGTTCCGACCAGGATCGTAAATATTGGCGAACAGCTTCACGCCACTCTGCATCTTTTTGTCGCATGCGCTGGATGACTAAAGGGCAGGCATTGCTCGGGCAGTTTTTTAAACCGTAAATTATATCTCCTGCTTTATCACCATATACCCTGAAAACACAGATAAATATTAGATTGGCATACCAAAGTAAACGTACAGGAAAAGTGATTTACCGGTGAATAGCTTTCCTCATAAGTATTGCTGAATCACCTCCTAGCGAATCATCAAGGCGAAAATTGACCAATTCATCACGAGGCATACGGTCCATGCGGCGCTGAATAACAACTAAGTGGTGAAGAGCTGATTTGTTTAACTCCATAACCATATCCACTTCGTATCTTTCATCTTCGACACGGTACATATTTTCCTCATACTGATTCTTCTTCGAGGAAACAAATTGACAATCCTCAGATGTGAGCGAAGAAAAACTGATGAAGGAATTGTTAAGCACCTGAAACATAATTAGTTGTTTAAAAAAGCAACGGTAGGAAGCTATTTTGAACGAATTATAACACGCACCTCTCTGGCAATGGCACATTTTGATCTTCCGGAGCATCTGGACTGAGGAAATTCGGAAGGCAATGCTCTGTAACTGGCCCCACAAGCACGCAATTTAGTGAAGTCTAGATCGAGACGTTTGTGCGAGATTTCACTCAATGTTGCTGCATCTATATGGATGCCGCCTACTCCATTTGTTGCAGGTGCATTGTAATAAGAGTTGGAGCCAGTCAATGAATGAGTTGAAGTCGTGGATGGGGAAGCGCCAATACGAGAAGCTGGTTTGTTGCCGGTAGCTGGTATTGGGGGAGACTCCAAATCATTTTCCCTAATACCCAGCTGCAGTAATACATCAGAGTCGCGACCAGACGGAATCGACTGATGGGAAAGGATAGTTAGCAGTGAGGAACAAGTTAATTTAAGTAATAATATAGACTTACGTTTATCAGGTCTCTAAAACTTCTCCAAAGTTCGGTATGCCTGGAGAAGAAAGGTTTTGTACTATCTAGAAGCTGCTCCTTTGT